GACAGGCCGTGGGAAGGAAATACAGCTGTGGCTGGCAGAGAGGAGCGGATTTAGAATAAGGGCCATATTTGTTTTCCCCACTGCAACGCGGTATAGCATAAAGACACAGGCTCTGGAGTCACACAGCCCTGGGTGTGAACTTCACTGTGCCACCTGCTAGCTTTAGGACCTCAGCCAAGTCTCTTCACCTCTCTGAGCCTCGGTATCCTTATCTGTGTAATGATCGTCATGAGGCTTGCACAGGATGAAGCATATAAAATTCTTAGCACAGTACACAGTATATCAATTGCTCCGTAAGTTATATTAGTAGTTTCATTAAAAAAAAAAGAGAGATCCCAGAAATAAAGATTAGATTACAACCACACTTTTTCTAAAGGCGGAAATCAGTCTAATGCTCTGGGTCTTCCGCAAAATTCATTTTAAATTGCTTGTTTGGGAAACAGCAGAGCAAAGTTGTTCATGGGCTTTGGAGTTTGACAGCCCTGAGGGGGCTGGAGTCCCAGTGTCTCCACTTCTAAATTGTGTGCCTTATATAAATTACTTAACTTCCCTGAAACTCAGGTTCCCTATCTGCAAAATGGGATAACGATACCTAACAGGGCTGCTGAGAAGCTTAAATGAGCGAACAGATGGAAAGTTCCTGGCACAGGGGAGGCAGGCAGCCAAGAGAAGCTATTATTGTTTCAGCTGAAAACTTTATCTCCCTAACCTTCAGGCTTTTAAGATTTCTTTGTTGAAATTGGAAAATGTGGTGTCATTAGAGCCATGAATTAGAGCACGCTCCCACACATGAGGACAAAGATAAGGGATGCTCTGTATCCAAATGGAGCCAGCTTAGCTTACCAAATCCTCCTCCCACCCTTGCCCAAAGAGATCCTCGCTTTGTTTGAAGGGTCCAATCCAGGCACCTTTACACAATCCATTTCCTTTCACTTTTTTTTTTTTTTGGTCAGAGCTCTAGCTCTTTGTCCTATTTGATCCCACCTCCACCAGCGGGAGATCACCTAAGTTGGCAGTGAAGCTAATTTAAACACAGAACAAGAATCTGCTGAGACCCAGGGTCAGATGTCATGGCACTGGGGAGCAGAAGCAGAAGTCTGAAGGAAACCCAAGAGCTACCACCAGCATCACCCCGACTGTGTGAGGGGAGCCTTCTCTCTACCTCCCATAACCACCAGCCTCCACCACCCCTCCCACACTGTTCCATCCACAAGAGAAAGGCCACCGTCCTCAGATAAAAGTCCTCATCTCCAAATCTGAAGTGTTTACTTCAAGGAACCCTAGGTATCGGGTTTTTTTCTTTTTAAAAGGAAGGCGGAAAAGAGCATCAGGAGAAGTACCTTGCAGGTTGAAAACGAACCCAAGAACAGTAGAAGGGCATTAGACTGTTCATTTGCTTCCAAGCATCAGGAGGCCAGAACAAGCCCCGCAGGGGGCCTTTTAACCACAATTTACATCAGGAAAGTAAGACCTGCTCTCCAAGAACCAGAAGTCATAGAATGTAGAGAAGGTTTCCCAGCTACTGGTTTCACAGCCCATTCAAGCTGGCAGCCCAGCAGGACAGCCCTGCATGCCGTTTCCATGGAGTTGCTCCTTCTTTGGGGCCAGTGATGCCAAATCCAGCAAAGGAGAGGGCCCCTCAAGAGCTCACAGAAGGGCAACCTAGCAACCTGTCCTCAAGCCAGGAAATGAAAGAGCTGTATCAGCGGTTGAGAGCATGGGATCAGGGGTTAGGTCAAACAGTTTCATTCCTCACACTTCTTCCTGAAGTGCAAGTTGAAAGAGGAAGATGTTACCAAGAAAGATGGCAGGGGAATGATTCTTAAACCATTTCTGGGCCACAGACTTACTTGACAATCTCCAGAACGAAGGACTCAGAAAAATACAAAGTCCAAATTCTTGGTAAACGATTTGAGAAAGGACCCTAGGTAGGAAACTCTGCTCACTGGAGTTACGTGTCATGACAGATGTGCTGCGGCAGATACATTGGCAGCAGACCATTTACTTATGACCCTCAGCATGATGTGGTGTTTCCAGCAGTGATTCATAAACTTCTCTACACCTCAGAATTAACTACAGCACTAGTTAAAAATGTAAATCACATTCCCCACCCCTAGTCCTTGTAAATCTGAATCCCCCAGAGGTGGAGCTCAGGAATCTGCCTTTCTAACAAGCTCTCCAACATGATTTTGAGGCAGCCAGTCTTGTACCCATACTTTGGTTAACAGCATGGGCTCTGTCTGGTGTCAGAGAGATCTGGTCCAAATTTTGGCTTCATCTTGTAATTTCAGGGAAGTCATCTCACCTCTGAGCCTTGTCTCCTTTGAGCTCATAAGCTGTAGAAATGTTTAACTTCTTTTTAAATAAACAGGCATCTTATTGTAGTATAAAAAATGGTGTAAAATGAGAAAGAAAAGTGCCTTAGCTTCCTTTTCTGTACAATGTTCCCGCAAAAGTTGCCTACCGCTTTCCCTACTCCCTACTGCCTCCCCCAACCCCCCTCACTCAACACTACCATCAGGCCAAGACTGCTGGTGGGTTTGAGACCACCGACGTAGAAATACTCTGTAGGCAGCTCAGCTGGGCAAATAGTTAGCATTAGAACAACAGGCTTGGATGCAAAATCGGATGCTGAAACTTACTTGCTGTGTGATGCTGGGCAAGACACCTAACCTCTCTGTTTTCCCATCTGTACAATGGAGATTAATAGTCCTTGCTCACTAATTCTATATAGTTCCAAATGGGCCCTCCCATCTCCACTTTGGCTTTTCTCTACTAACCCTCAATCTGAGACTAAAGCGGAGTGTTTACAAGGGGCGTCCTTTGAAATCGGATATGTCGACTCGGGTGTGAGCTCTTCGCTCTGCCCTTCCTAACCACACTGCCTGAGTGCTGAAGTGCCCTCTCTGTTAAACCGGCACACCGCTGCTGAGAAGAATAAATGAGACGTCCGTGCAAGCGCATTCGCACGCAGAAAGTGCTCAGTAAATGCTTTCTCCCCTTCCCCCTATACAAACGTGAGGGGCTCTTATTGTTCACTTGATTTCTGTCCCACCTCGTGTTTAACGCATCCGGTCTCAAAGCGCGGAGGGAGGAGAGCCGAGATGGAAGAAGGGGTGAGGGAGAAAGAAAGCGAAGGGGAAGCAGCAAACTCACGGGTAAAATGCAAATCGGCCCGGTAGGTGCGTCCGAGCTGCACTTGACACGGCGCTGGCTCCCGCGCCCGTGTGCCGCAGCCCCCGCCGGCCGGCTCCCCCCTTTTGCTAGCAATGGCCTCGGGGCCGGAGGCTGAGAGGGGAGGCGGCCCCCGCGCCCCGCTGATTGGCCGCTCCGTCCCGCTCATCAAGCTCTTTTGTGTCAATGGGCAGAAGCTAACTGAAGCGGCGGCTGCTGGGAGGGCTCAGCCGGTGGTTGGGGGAGGCCGCAGCTGCCGTGGGAACCGTGCTGCCTCGACTTCGCTACCCCTGGCTGGGCGGCCGTGCGGTGCAGCTCCATCCGGCAGCTCCGGTTCGCTCGGCGGCGGAGAAGGCGTCATCCTTTTCCCCTGCAAGGCCGCGGGAACTGGAAGGCGGCAGCCGCAGCTGTCCACACCCGAGCATCCGCTGCCCACCAGCCGGGCACAGGAAAAAAAAAAAGGGGGGGGGGGAGCGCGATTGCCCAGCGCGCAGAGAGGAAGGGGAAGCTCCACCAGTACTGGGCGGCTCCCCACTTGGGGAATCGAGAACTGAGAGGCGGGGGAAGGAGCACTCCCATGGCCCCGCTGCGCTGAGGGAGGAGGTGGGGTTTTGCTGGATACTGCCAAAGGCGCAGGATTTGCCAGAATTGAAAGGGGGGGAGGCGTTTTTGGTAGGGGTCGTAAGGGACAAGGAGGAGATAATCACAAGCTGTCCGCTTTCAATCCCCTTTGCATTTCCCCATCTCTTCCTGGGGAGGAATATGAGGGTGTGCGTGTCCAACTCTTATTCCCTTTCTCCGTGGCAGGCCATCAGAGCCAAATCCGAACTTGAATTCTGTCTGAGCAGCTGATTGCAGAGCTGGTAGGCCAACAATTTCCCAGGGGACATGTAATGGAAGGGGTCACTTTGACTTGTATTCAGAAGGTGGGAGCGGGAATTTTCTGTCTGAAGATGGGAGATGGAATTTTCCCATCTGGCTACAGCGGAGGTGGGGGCGGGAAAAGGGAGCGGGATGAGGGATGAGGCTGCTTCTGACCCTTCCCTTCTCTGTCCTGCCCTACGCGACGACACAGTCTTGACGACCTGAGGACTGGGATCTGCAAACCCCACTGGACGGAGGTCAGGGCTGGGATCTGCAACCCCCAGTGGACAGAGGTCGACCTACCCCGAAGGCGAGCTTTCTCATGGAGGGCACCTGTTGCAGAGGCTGGAAGTGAAATAAAGGCGTGCACTTGTTTCCGAGCTTATGTTTTATAATCCGAGAAATAAGGGGGGAAACTTTGAGAAGGGTGTGTGGTTGAGATCTGAAACGTGAGTTTAACAGATGTCTTTAAAATTTTTTTTGAGTATAGTTGACACACAATGACATGGATATCTTATTATCATAAATCTGTGAGATTTAGACCATTGTACTCTATTTTGAGAGCCCAACAACAGCTCCACACACACTATTTCACCTAGAATTCAAAGCAGCAGTTGCCCTCCCTCCTGGAGGACTGGCCAGAGGGGATGGAAAAGTACCCTGCTAGCAGGAAGACACCCTTTAGCTCGAGAAAGTTGTAATTGCCAGTCTCCTGCAGGGTATTTTTAGGTCAGTGGGCAAATATAAAATGTACTGCGGGGTGTTCATTAAAGTAAAGTGACTGCAGACCACTTCCCTGCAATCTACTACATTATTGACCTTCCCCCCCCTTTTTCTTTACAGTCCCTATTGAGATACAGGGAAGGCAGAGACTGGGAACATTGGGGATTCCTCCTACAGATTAGGCTTTTCTAAAAAGCCTGAGCATCTTGTTATATTCAGATAGACAACCGTCGTCCGTCATGGCTAGCATCATTGCACGTGTGGGTAATAGTCGGCAGCAAAACACACCCTTGCCACCTTGGGCCCATTCAATTTTGAGGTCCTTGGGGAGGAGTCTTGGTCCTTTAAGGGTCCACATGGCAGAAAGAAATGTGAAGCTGTTCTCCGGGAGAGTGGTGCCAGCCCAAGGGGAAGAAACCTTTGAAAACTGGCTGATCCAAGTCAATGGGGTCCTGCCCGATTGGAACATGTCTGAGGAGGAAAAGCTCAAGCGCTTGATGAAAACCCTTAGGGGCCCAGCCTGGGAGGTCATGCGTTCGCTCCAGGCCGCCAACCCCAATCTAAGTGTGGCTGATTTCCTACGGGCGATGAAACTGGTGTTTGGGGAGTCTGAAAGCAGTGTCACCGCCCATGGTAAATTTTTTAACACTTTGCAGGCACAAGGGGAGAAAGCCTCCCTTTATGTGATCCGTTTAGAAGTGCAGCTCCAGAATGCTATTCAGGCAGGGATCATAGCTCAGAAAGATGCAAACCAGACTTGCCTGCACCAGCTCCTTTTAGGAGCTGAGCTAAATAGGGACCTGCACTTTAGGCTGAAACATCTTCTCAGGATGTATGCAAATGATCAGGAGCATCTTCCTAATTTCTTGGAGTTAATCAAGATGATAAGGGAAGAAGAGGATTGGAATGACACTTTTATGAAACCGAAACGGCCCAAAAGGTCTGAGCTAATCTTGGAGAGGGCAGCAAGCCCTGTAGCATTTCAGGGCCCCCAGCCAATAGCAACCAGCAGCGCCGACTGCAACGTGATAGAGGTAGATGATACCCTTGATGACTCAGATGAGGATGTGATCTTGGTGGAGTCTCAGGACCCTCTACTTACATCCACCGATGCCCCGCCCCTCAGAGGCAGGGCCAGCCCTCTTGATCCAATACTGGTCACTGATTCCTCCAACAGTTCCCGGGCTCAATCTCCTCCCACCAGTGGGGGTTCTGGGTATAAGAATAATGGTCCTGGGGATATGCGTAGAGCCAGAAAGTGAAAATACACAATCTTCTGTTCATATTGTGAGGAGGGCCACTCAAAGGAAACCTGTAAGAGTGAGAGCAACAAGGCCCAGGTGATAGAGAATCTGATCATCACCCTGCAGAAGCTGACACATACAGAGGAGAAGTCAAAAGAGGTTCCTGGTGAACACAATGACCTCTCTGCGCCTCTAGTAAAGTGCTAGAATGAGCCCTAAGTGAACCCTTAACTGTATTCAGATGGGAAAAAGAGCAGGGGTGGGAGTAGATTTCTATCTGCATTAATTAATCCACAAAGTGGCTTTATTGTGGGCAGAAGAGGTCTTGGATATCACCAAAGTGGAGGGGATAGACTGAACTCTGTCCCTGCTCCCTCCTCTGTCTGCCTAAGGGTCTATTCTGTGTGTGTGTCCGTTTCCTTGATGACTATTCTTTTTATGAAAGGAGTAGAACTCTGTTAAACCTTCACAAAATGAAGGAAAATACAAATTACCCAAAACTCTTCATCCTTATATAAACATTGTCAGTCCTTTGATGAATGCCCTTCTAGGTATTTCCCTGTAACTGTGTACCCAGATAGATATATGTATAGAAAAGTGAACAAATAAAAGTGCTGTTCTATACTGTGTATTTTTTACCAAACTATATGTTGTGGAGTTCTGTGTCAATGAATATATATAAGCATCAAGTTCAATGTCTCTGTGTTTGATGTTACTTTTAAGAATATAGAGGAAAAATAAACAAGAATCAAATACAGAAGCTTTAGTGGGGGAGGGTCATACTGTGAAGTGGAGTTTTCACCAACCTCATTTACAGATGAGGAAAAGGGAAGCTGAAATGGGCGGAATTTCTCCCAAAAAGGCCCTTATCACAACTGACCTGTCTCCTAGGGTCAGGGTCAAATCTGCACCCACTAGTTGATATTCCAATGCTTTCTTCTCTAATGTATCCTGAGAAATGTGATGATGGACAGGGGTGGGGGCAAAAGTGGGAAATGGGTATTTCAGGAGGGTTCCGTTCCTGTTCACTTAGGGAAGGAGCAGGGTAGATTCCTTAGACTGTGGCTACTGCTGCTTCTGGAGAACAGCTGGTGGCATCAATAAGACTGTCCTTTGGGCTGACACTACCCTCTGCTTCCTCCCTTAGTACTGAGAAAGCAGCCACTCATGAGAATTTAGTACCAGGAAGCTCAGCACCTCCCAAGCCTCCCCCTGGTTACAGGCTAGAGGACACCAAGGAGCCCAAGGAGTCGCAGGTAACCTTGTCCTGATCCAACAAATGGGAATACCCAAGGAAGGATGAAAAGCCATCTGGGTGCCAGGGCATATGAAAAAACAAGGGAATCAGAAAGCCCACATACCCTTTTAGAACTGAGGACACTAATAGGAAAAGAGCACAGAAGAACCTTCCTGGATACCTGCTCCCGCCCATATCACGGCCTCAGGTTGGAGGGTGATAAAAAATGACCCTGTCCAAAGAACAGGGTCCCCTATTCTTTGTAAGTATATCAGTCCCTATCCTTGTGAGCAGGGCAAGGTTGATTGGGGCTGATTTTATTTAAGGCAGGGAATGCAGTGCAATGAATGCAGACCCGATGAGTTTGTCAGGGAGGAGATAGGGCTGAGAGGACAGAGCGTGCCACAGGAGGAGACAGCGTGTGGAGGTGAGGCAACACAGAGCTGTAGAGGGAGGGGAGAGGAGAAGACAGGCAGGGGAGGAGAGGACACCTTGATTGCGCAGGGGATTCGCATCGAGCCTGGTAGGAATGGCAGACTCTGGAGCTTTCACACAGAACCCTGGGCCGTGTGGTCCTGAGGGGAGGGAGGTGTTTGGGGCTCTATGCTAGCAGTCGATGGCCCCTCAACAGGGACAAAGGGGTGCAGCCTCGGGCCTCGGGCCTCGAGGGAGGGGTAGAAGCCAGGTAATGTGAGAAGCCCACTCAAGCCTTCTCTGGGCTGCCACACCTAGAACCTGCCAAGAAGTGCCTCTCCTTCCAGAATTGTCCCCCTCAGCTCCTCCCTGGCTTCTTGCTCCTGCTCCATCCCTGACCCCTTAATTTGACCTTACAGCCTCCCCCACAAGCCACACACACTCTCCCAGTGGAGGGAGGTGGAGGCTCAGCCTCCTGTGCTCTGTCAGCACCCCTCCCCAACCCTAGCACCCCATGTTTGCTTTAAGCTTCACCTCCTTAACCTCATGGGCAGGAGGAGACTGGGAGGGCCCTTCTGCCTCAGACCCTTTAGCTGAGAACCAGCCAGAGCAAAGGCTCATGAGTGATGAAGGATAGTTGGAAGACAGGCAGGCAGGGACAAGGGGCCCCTGCCCTAAGAGGAAACCACCCTTAAAGGGATTTTACACCCCGCCGGAAGGAGCCCTCCACCCTTTCCCATGTGATAGGTAGATGACAAAAACCTGATTGTGTGACAGGTGCATGGAGGGTTAATCAGATTAAAACAGCCCGCCAGCAAGCCCCAAAAACCCCCTAGACTCAGAAACTCCAGTGGCAACACTCTTGGGTCTCCTCCCTCTTCGGGAGCTTTGTACTATGGCTCAGTAAACTTTACTATCGCTCAATAAACTTTATCACTCAATGAACTTTGCTCTGCTGCCCACTACTCTGCATCTGGTCTACCTCTTCACTCTTCAGAAGATGCATGACCAAGAACCCTGGGCACCAAAGGAAAATAAATCCTGTAACAACAAGGCCCACTTCTTGCATCCCTCTGTGGGCACTTCTGGGCCCGTCAGCCACCTCCATCTCTCCAGAGCCAAAAGAGACTCTCCCCCCACCCCCAGGCCAAAGGTAACTCCACTCAGGCCCCCAAAGCCACAGGGGCTGCCAACATTCCCTGACTCTTCGTTTGTAAGCCCTTTATTCCTCCCTTTCTCTAAATCTTCCCTTGCAAGGAATCTGCCCACTCATCTATCCTAGATAAGTATCACCTTCTCTCAGTTTTACTCTATAAATGCTTGTCGAATAATTTACCCAAATAAACAGTTTATGCTGTCATAAGTTCTTTCTGGGATCAAATAGGGAAAAAAGAAAAATAAATGTGACACCTACCACTGCCCTCCTTTTCACCGGTGTTAGTTTGGAGGTTCAGTATAGACCACGGCTTTGTAAAACCGTTCTATGATTCATCCCCATTTCTTCCCTCCCCCATCCTCCTCTTCGTCCTGTACACTTAAAATTGTCTGAATTTTTTATTTCACCAAAACGAGGCAAACCTGATACTTTATTTCACTTTGTGTAACATTGGCTTTTCCAGTATTCAGGACCTGGGCATTCAGATCAAACCAAGGGAGTTAGCCGAAAGAAGGCTTTTAGAGAATTTTGTGTCTGATAGCCTTCATTTGAGAATTTGTTTTCCTTTTCCTTTCACTCTCAGTAATTGCTAAGAGATGAAACGAGTCTTTTTTTCAGGAGAAACTAGCCTTTGCATGACCTTCCTGTGCATTACTCCCCTTCTTCTAGATACTATTTTCCCTTGGTCTCTGACACCCCTGTCTCACAGCCACCCTCCCAGATCTTTTTGGTGCCTGCTTCTCAGACTCCTTTGCTAAATCTTCTTTCTCTTCCTGATCCTTCCAAAACAGCAATAGAAATTAAAACTACCACAACTGTAATTTATTGAAAGCTTATTATGTGCCAGGTACCCTCGTGCCGAGCACTTTAAATGTAGTAGCTCTTTTTTTTTTAAAGATTTTATTTATTTATTTATTTGAGAGAGAGAATGAGAGATAGTGCGAGAGGGAAGAGGGTCAGAGGGAGAGGCAGACTCCCCGCTGAGCAGGGAGCCCGATGTGGGACTCGATCCCGGGACTCCAGGATCATGACCTGAGCCGAAGGCAGTCGCTTAACCAACTGAGCCACCCAGGCACCCTAAATGTAGTAGCTCTTTAATCTTCCGGTAACCCACTAAGATAGCTATTACTATCACTTTCTATTTCTAAATTATGGGGGGGGTTGTTTTTTTTTTTAAGAATTTATTTATTTATTTGAGAGACACAGAGAGCGAGCGAGTGAGAGAGAGCAAGAGCCAGGGGGAAGGACAGAGGGAGAGAGAGAAGCCGACTCCCCACTGAGCAGGGAGCCTGAATGCAGGGCTCCATCCCAGGACCCTGGGATCATGACCTGAACCAAAGGCAGAGGCTTAACCGACTGAGCCACCCAGGCGCCCCCTCTAATTTACTAGATGACATTAATTTAATTACTGTTTTTTAAAGCTTTTTTATTTGAGAGAGAGAGAGAGGGCATGAGCAGGGGGAGGGGCAGAGGGAGAAGCGGACTCCCCACTGAGCAGGGAACGGGAAGCTGGGCTTAATCCCGGGGCCCCAGGATCATGACATGAGCCAAAGGCAGATGCTTAACCAAGTGAGCCACCCAGGCGCCCCTAATTCAATTACTATTAATTGCCACCGATTTCTGATGAGGAAACAGGCTGGAAAATTAGGAAACTACCTAGGGTCATGCAGCTAATTAGTGGTGGAGCCAGGGATGAGATGTCTGGCTGACTGACTCCAAAGCCAGTGCTCCTTTCTAAAGTTAGTTCTCAGGCACAGCACCCTCTGATGTAGGTGCTATTACTATCTGCATATGACACATGTATCTGCACATGACACAGGTGCTATTACTATCTGCACATAACCAGGTCTACGCATATGAAGTGCTTGGCCAAACGTCATAAGAGCAAGTGGCTTGCGTGTCACACACAAGGATGGAATCTTCTAAAGAACGTTTCCTCTGACAGAAAGGAGGCTTTCTACCTTTTTCTTTCCCTCTGGGTTGCAGCTAGACCTCCTGCTGCCTGGCAGCCACCCCCTCCCCCATCTTCAGTTGCATTATCACATTCCATTCAAGCACTGTGTTGTTTCCCACCTATGCCTTAGGTGCAAATAGTTGTGAATTTAACATATGCAAGAGGAGAAAGCAGCAGCAATCAGTGGGGGAGGGATTAATTGTACAATTAGTGGTGCTAGGGAGACTTCACTACCGGATTGGAAAAAAGGATCAGTTTGCTTTCCCTCCTGATGACACTAAATATGAATTCCAGGTCAGTTTGATAAATAAATGTAGATTTTATGCAAATGTGTACTAATTCTGAAATAATATATGTTGTTGTTATGAAAGGAATAAGAAAGAATCAAATGTTCAAAAGCAACCCCTTTTAATTCTGCAAGAAAAGAAATATTTATTAGATCTCTG